AATAAAGAATAAATAAAAAATAAAAGGCATGGGGCTCTAACTGGCATTTAGTGTTTAGCAGCCACATGGCAGAATTCCATCCTACAATTCACAGGACAATCCTGCAAAGTGAAGATTTATTCTATGCCCCATATCACTTTTGAATGTCCTGCCAGACATTTGTGTAAAAACACTGTTTATCATTATTTGATCCCAGAACTTAAATCTACTCTATATGTAAACACAAAATATTTTTGGACAGCTTTAATATGCACCAGATTTCCAAGAATGTAATTAGTGTGTCAGTTGAGGGAAGAGTGTTGTTTTCTTTAGAGCTTTTTTTTTTTTTTTTTAGATTTTCTCCCATTTTAGAAATTCTAATTGCAGATGGGGATAGTGCCATTGACATTTAAGCTGCAAATAAAGCCTCCCCAGATTAGTTAAAATTACACTTTCCACATAGAAGAAGAATCTAACTACTTTATCATGTGAATTAGAGTAGTTGTGTCAGGGCATGTACATACTGAAATTTGCAATATTTTGTATCCTTTTAACTCTCCTTTTAATGCAGTTAGTAGATTATATTGATATTTTTGAAGTATGAGTATGAGTAGGCTGTAGCATAGATGACTGTCCCTTCAGATGGTCAGGGAAGCATTACAAAATACTGGCTGTTACAACAGGCACTGACTGGGCTGAGAAGGACCTGGGCAACATTAGGAAGGAGTTATCTTCTTTCTGCTGCTTCCATATTTCCTACCAGAGAACTGTCAGTTTGGGTCCCAGGTCTGAGCCCTGTCTTCCATTTCACTCACTGTGCACCACAAAGGCATGACTTAAGCCATAGGCAAATTGTGTCAAGGAGTTGGGCGCATTCTACACAGCTCGCAGCCCCTCTGTAGCTCCCTCTCTTTGGTAGCTGGACTCCCACAGGAAGCAGGCTTTTGTGATGTCCTTCCAAAGCCCAGCTCCGCCATCCCATCTAGGAAGCCCTTCCTGACCCCAAAATGACGTCTATCATTCTCTCTCCTGTTCTACTTTTCTACATTGTTTCATATTTATCATTTTTGTCATGTTGTGTAATCATTTATATGCTCACATGTTGGTCTGTAGTTTTTACTCTCTACACCTCTAGTTTGGGGTACAATGTCCAGCATGAATCATGCCACATGACTCTTTATGGAATGGGTGTTAATTTTCAGTGAAATACACAATTCACTACGTATCTTAATAACTTTCCAAGTCAACCCTTTCAAAAACAATAGTGATATGATTAAGAATGAAAAATGGAATTGTCAAGTTTTCACTTGCACGTTTACCTACAGAATTGAATTAAATTTGTTTTCTAAAATGTGATTTGATTCTAATATCTAAGAAACAATCTAAAAGGAATCAAATGTCCCATTTATCACAGAAAATCTCTTTAATAAAAATACCTCCAGGCTTCCCATCACAAGGAGGACTGTTCAATTTAGTAGAAGCTGAAAAAGTTGCCAAGTGAGGGAAATTGCTTTCCCGAGAAGCCAAATAAGAGTAGCTCTGAACAGAATTTCTTCTTTTAAAACAAGGAAATTTTATTTTGAAGCTAGAAAATAACTGCTTGTTTTCGATCTTGCTATTTCTAGCCTAAATAACTTGAGGAAATTCAGAAAATTACCAGTGGTTTTAAGGATATTATCAAATCACCCTCATAGAAATGGATCTTGAGAATAAATCCTATCAGCCCTCCTAGCAGGACCACACCCAAAGCACCTCACATGAATTTATATTTATAATAATGGATGGGTAAATCAATTATTTTTAATATTTTAAGAAAAGGAGACCGCACAGCCTTCATGCCCATCTGGGATTACACGAAGGGGAAAAAGAAAGAAAGAAATTTGTTTACAAATTTTATGTGCTGAACCCTGGCATCTTCATCCTCAAAACAGCCTTGCAAGGTAAGTATGATGTTGTGATTTGTTTGTTTGTTTGTTTGTTTGTTTGTTTGTTTTTTAGTAGGTGCAGTGGCGAGGAATCAGGAGGACACTGAAATTTGTCAGGTGACAAAACTGGGTTTGATTCAATGTTATCTGTCCCTAAAGCTTATTACCTTTCTGTAAAATCAGAGACTCTCTCAAAGGGTCTTGAGCATCTGCTTCACGGCTGCTCTGGCCATGTTGGTCTCATTTCAGAAAAGAATTCAACCTGAACTGGCATTTCTTGCTATCTCTAGTTCTTCATGAACTTCCTCTGATCCAGCTTCTGAGCCAACACGTTACTTAAATGGTTGGCATCCCACCTAGTGAGTCTCTTTTCTTCATCTTAACCTTTCCTGGCCTCTAACATACAATTTAAGAGTATTGACCACCCGTCCTCCATAAAAGACTCTTTCTTGACTTCATTAACACTATACTCACTACTCCTGTTTGTTGTTTTGTTTTGTTTTTCATGAGTCCTGCTTCTTGTCTTTTGTTCTCCAGCTGCCTCACTGTGAACCTTCCTGGAACTGAGTGGGACCCTGGCTTTCTAGTCCCAGGCTGTCCCCCTCAAAGAAAGCACGTGTTCTCCTGATTTCAGACATGCTCTGTTGCTGTCTCCTTTCTATCTGTGCTGCTGTCTTCTTGCTGGAGTTCCCTTTCATCCTCTCCCCGTGGGCAATGCCACTTGTCTGCCCTGCCATCACCCAGCCTGGACCAATCCCTTACAAATGCACGGTCCCTCATAGCACTGACATTCTCCCGTTCTCCTACGGTTGGCGCTTACCATGGTGAAAATATAAGACAGCATATATTATAACTAAGGGCTCAAGTGTGTATTGCATCTATGACTTTTCCTCTCCTGTTTAAAAAAGAAAACAATTTCTTTAAAAGTTAACACAATTTTAGAACTTAGAAGTTTCTCTTGTGCCAGGATTGTCATCTCTACCATCTCTGTACCCTCCTTATGTGACGGTGACCTACTCATGGGGTCCTAACTCCAGGCTCTCCACCTGACAATCCACCCTGAATGCTGATTCCAGATTAATCTTTCTTAAATTCTGCTCTTAGCATAGCACTCATTGGAAAACCTGCAATCACCCTTCTTTTCAACTGCATAAAATATAAATTCGTTAGTTTGAGTTTTAAGATCCATAATAATCTGTGCATTTCTCCACTTAGACCATCTTATTTCTTGCTACTCTTTAGTAATATGCTGCTCTCATAAAGCCAGCCTCTTCAGTCTTTCAAGAACAAGCACATTCCAACCTCTATGCCTTTTTTTTTTTAGCTGAGCCATCCTGCCACCTGTTGGCAGCTCAGCAGCAGCTCAGCTCAGGCCGGGAATCGAACCGCTGTTGCTCAGAGCTCAAACTCTTGAGTGAGCTCTTAACCAAATGAGCCACTCGGCCGGCCCTTCTATGCCTTTTTTTAATGCACACTTTGACTAGAATGCCTTCTCTCCTGACTTGAATAAGCTTTTCCTCACTCTATGAAATCTTTCTTGTTCATGCCAGACTATCATAAACTTTCTTACCTCTTCAACTTTAAGTTTGCTTCAAGCCCATATCCAGTGCATTAGATGGCACTTTAATATTGGCTGTCCTGAATTGCTTATTGTTGATTTGCCATGTGCCATCCCATAATTTTGCAATCAGACTTAATCTCCTTATGGCCAGAAATCTTGCCATACTCATTGTGTTTCCCCCAAGAAAGTACTAGTGTATACTGATTCATACTAAGAATTTTTAATCTAAATTCATAGAGCCCAAAAAAAGAAAGAAAAAGAAGAAATTCATATAGCCTGATAGGTACAATAATTTAATATTAAAGAGTCATTAAAAATTGAGCAGACAAGTCTCTTGATTTATTTTTTATGAACTTTTAGAACTAAGATATTTTCCACATGTAAAGGTAACATGGAAAATAAATATATAACCTCTAAAAGTAAAAAAATTAAGAGGTGATTATTAATATGCAGCATTTGACAAAAGTCCTTTGAGTATCTCTTTCCACACAAATCATCTCTTGACTAGCTATGGATGTACAGTGAATCTTAAAGCTAATGTCAGAAGCCACACAACGTTTTTGGGTCATCCACAGTAAAGATTAATTTGATATGAAGATAGAGCATCTGGAATATTATACGTTACATCTTTGAAGAACAGATCATTTTAAATATTAGCAATACAATTTTCAGGACTTCCTGTATGGTATCAAGTGGAGTACACCATATAAAAGCCTGGATTAGAAGACCTGGTTAAGAAATATAATAGCCTTACCTTCACATAATCATAGATGCAGTTTTGCAAATCAGTTGCTGACTCCAGAGCAAATGTATTGAAGGTGAGTTTGATTAGTTTGTTTATAGGTGCAACTATGAACCATACGCAGTTTAAATTCTTGTCGTATCTTCCATTTGAATCAGTATCAGGAGAGGCAAAGGTATAATTTGAAGGTGTCAGATAGCCACCACATCCTTGTCGAGGCCCTGTGTTAAAACAAAGACACATCGTTATGCCAACGAAGAGGACAAATCTTAAGTTTTAGGTGGAGGCTTTTAAACACCATATTGTTCCTACTTCCTCTCCCACTTTTAGAAACAGTATCAGATCGTTCACTGAGCTCCAGGGGCTTCTGCAGCTGTTGTTGCCGCTTCCCTTAGCTTCTTCATTCCCGATTTCCTCCCCACGTCTCTCACTACCCCCTCAGTCCCCTTCTCACTCACAGAGCTGCCTAGAAAAATGAGTAACCAGATTTGTTTTATGTGCATTTTTAGAACTGCTGGTGTGATTTACTGAAGCTTTCTCAATCCTTGAGAAATCCAATTTTATAGAAAATAAAGTACTTTGCTTAATAAAACTGGTGGAAACTGTGAGCCTGTTTTACTTTTATGTTCTGCTTTTACGAACACTACCCCACTGAATTTGAACTTATGAGGAATTTACCCAACACTCCAAAAGAACTGGCTCCCAACAAATGTTTTATTTAAATAATCTATTAGAAGGAGGGTGAGAGGCATTTAACACTCCAGGCCAGTTTATATTAAACCACTCTATATTAGATTTTTTTTTTCTTTCTCAAAAAGAAAGGGAAACCAAAGAAGAATACATTGTTAAAAGGAAAAAAGTATACTTTGCAATAAAAACTTTGAAATTCAGAGTAAAATGAGAGAAATAAAAAGAGATTAAAAATACTCTCAAGATGACTAAATGGTCTACTATGAAAAAAAAATATGGAAAATCCTCAGAACACTGGACTTAGTTTCATCACCTCTAAAGCCTAACCCAATGCCTCAGAAATGATGTAAGAAGAACATCAAAGGAAGAAAAACTTATTGACAATTTCCAAAGAAACAATGAGGATGAATTCAGCTCAAAATAGCCCTATAAGGACTAGAGATTAAATAGGTGCCCAAAGTATTGTTCATAAAGTTTGTGTTCTACACAAATATAGATCATTACTAAGTTCCAAAGTAAATTTCACTGTCACTGGCCTTCACCTATTTTTCTCAACCCATTTGTTTAGATGTTAACAGTGAGAGGGCAGCTTTCAACATTAGGGGGTGCTAAGACTTTGGACTTGGAGCGTGCAGGAAATGTGAACAATGGCCGCTCTCCTGGGATGCAAAAGGTGCAGAAGGTTTTTCAGGATAGATGCATTATTTAGTAAGTCAGACTGCCCTAGCCATAGCTTCTAAGTCCAGTCAAACTATAGATTATTCGTACAGTCAGGCCTGGAGCTGAAATGCTTTCAAAGGCCCAGACCCTGATATATCCATAGATGGGATTGACAACAAAATTATCCTGAAACCCAAGCAATGCACAGAGCTGAACTACGTATTACTCATAATTCTTTTCCTATTAAACAGGCTCGCAAACTAACAAAGAATTGGAGTTTGCACAGCTTTTCTTTCAGTGTCAGCTGCTTGTTACTTAAGGAAACCACTTAAGCTTGTTGACATGCATAACAGGGAAGAGCAATTAGAGTATTAATGAGTTCATACATTGATTTATTTAACAATGTTTTAATATCCAAGGGCATATATTTAGTATTGAGGTGGGAAAAGGTGAATGGTAGTCTGACAGCAGTGATAGGACCTAGATAAATAATGATGGTAGAATTTAGAAACTGATAGTGCCTTAAAAGAGGCAGGAAAGTCTTGAGTTCTGAAGAGCGGGAGATTACTTTGAGCTCTGATAAAATGTTCAAGGAGAAGGTGACATTTGATTTGAGTCTTAAAGGATAAACTGGACAAAACCATGTAGACTTGGGGTTGGTAATGGCAACTCCAGACTGAAAGAAGCTCATAACCAAAGGTTAAGTGGACAGGAATTTATACTATATGCACAGGAAAGCATAATTTTGTTAGTGAAAACCAGAGAGTACATGAAGAAAAACAATGAGAGATGGGAAGCAGGATGGGCTACTTTATGGAGGGCATCCAATGCCAAATTATCAACTTGGACCGTTAGACATGTTACTTTTAGCATCATAAATCCATCACCTTCCTTGTTACCACACAGTTTTCTACCATCCAGCAAACTCCTATCTATCAGCACCTCCTCCATCAGTCAAGTTGCATCAGAAACACTCAGTAATGACACTCACTCCCTGTGCCCAAGAACGAATGTCACTCTAACCTTCTTCCCCAAATTGGAAACACTTCCCACAAAAGAGCTTCTTTTGAGAAAGCAAATGCTTCACTAAAGAAATATTGGAAATATAAACCCATAGTAAGCAATGAGATCTGGGTCAAGCTCCACTTAAGCAAAAATCAGTCACTGAATCCTAAATGATTTCTCTCCAATTATTAAACTTCAGAGTGAAGTTCAAGCCGGGATAAATCTGATAAAGAAATAGCATTATTATCTAAGAGAAAACATCTTGAAGGCTTTAGAGGAGTCAGATCCACTTCTAAACATAATCGTTATCTTGAGAGTCGACATTTTTGTGCCTGACATTATATGAGGCTGACATTTTATTGAGGTCTCCTGGACAGGACCTCCATCCATCTCTGGGCAATCCCTGCTTGGACAAATAGTGAATGGCTGGTGGACTTGCGATAAAGATTGGCCTGACTTCAGGCTTTTTCCTATTCCCCAGTGAGCCAGCTGCAGTTTTAAGTTGTACTTGAAGGACGCACAGTGAAGCACAGGGAGCAGGACATAAAAGCATTTAAAACTGGTACCTTAGGGAAATGGGGGTGCACACCAAGAGAGATGGTGATGTTCAGAGCTGCAGTATATAACTGCCCTAAAGCAGTGAATTCATTTTAAAAATTCAAGTGGGCTCTTGGTGGAGAACACACAGTGCAATATACAGATGATATATTATAGAAGTGTACTTGAAACCTATATAATTTTACTAACCAATGTCACTCCAACAAATTTAAATGAGATAAAAAAAATCAACTAGGCTCCAGATGAAACTGTTTAGTTTCTTTTTCTCTAAAAGTAAATTGGATTTATTATTCTAATCCCTAACCTCAAACATGTACAACAATTTAGGTATTATAATTATGCTATGCAAGAAAAAACCATAAAGGTTTTGTAACAAGAGTTGTGTGAGGTTTTTAAAATTTGTTTTCGATAACATCACTTGATTTGACTCATTTTAAATATCCTAATTAGAGACCCAGCCTAATTTAACTTAGAATGTGTATTCATTTAGTCTGGTAATATTTGGGAAGCATAAAACTAAAATATTAAAAGAAAGGTAATTTACTATTATAAAAGAAAAGTAATTTCAGCAGCTAATCAGTAGCTATAGTCACTAGAAAAAGAGCAACATAATTTATAAAGAACTCAGGATAATGATAATTTTATTATTATCTTTTAATTTATTTTGCATTATGTAGGTATTATTGAAAACACCATATGTATGTATCATTAGTCCATTCTCATGAAAATCATCCTTGCCAGCTTTGAAATTATTTTATTAAAATCATTAAAAATGATTTTCTAAGCAAAACGATACGATCTTATCAATTGATGAAAGAAAAGGATTTGATTAGATCCAACACAAATTCATGATAAAAACTCTCAGCAATCCAGGAATAAAATTCTCAACTTGATAAAGAGCATCTATAAAAATTCTACAGCTAACATACCACTTAATAGTGAAAAACTAAATGCTTTCTTCCCAAGATTAGGAACAAAGCAAGAATAGTTTTTCTCACCACTCTTACTTAGCATAGTATTGGAAATTCTTGCCAGTGTAATAGGCAAAGAAAAATATATACACACTGGAAAGGAAGAAATGAAATTACCACTGTTTGCAGATATAGAGAATCCAAGGAAATTGAATAAAAATTCCTAAAACACTTATTGTTAGTTTAGGAAAAACTGGATAGAAGACAATACACAAAAATCAATCACAATTCTGTATATAACAATGAACATGTGGAAATCAAAATTAAAAACACAATTGCTCCAAAGAAAATATTATACTTAGGTATATAGAATGAAACATAGATAGGATCTGTGTGCTGAAAATTACAGAATGATAAAAGAAATCAAAGAAGATCCAAATAAACGAATACATGTGTTAGGATTGGAAGACTCAACATAGTAAAAATGCCAGTTATTCCCAAATTGATATACAGGTACAATGCAAGTCCTATGAAAACACCAGCAAGACTTTTCCACAGATGTAAAAAAGTTTGTTTGAAATTTATATGTAAAGGCACAGGCCCTTGAATAGCTAAAACAACCTTGACAAAGAAGAATGAAGTAGGAGGACTCAGTCTACCTTATATTAAGCTTTACAATACAGCTATACTAATCAAGATAGTGCGATGATGGTGGTGGTTAGACATGTAAATCAATGAAACAGAATAGAGAACCCAGAAACAGACCTCCAAAAATAGGCCCAAGTGATTTTTTTACAAAGGTGCAAAAGCAATTTAATAGAGGAAAAACAGTCTTTTCAACAAATGGTGTTAGAGCAATTGAACATCCAGAATAAAAAAATTAACTTCAACCTAAACCTCAGACCTTAAACAAAAAGTAGTTCAAAATGGATCATAGACATAAAATGAAAAATGTAAATGACAACACTTTTATAAGAAATCAGAGCAGAAATCTTTGAGACCTCAGGATAGGCAAAGAGTTCTCAGCCTTGACACCAAAAGCATATCAAAAATAAAAAAGAAGAAAAAGAAAACTGATAAATTGGACTTTATCAAAACCAAAATCTTTTGTTCTAAGAAAGTCCTGTTCAGAAGATTAAAAAATAAGCTATAGACTGGGAAAAAATATTTGTAAACCACACAGGACTACTATTGAGAATATATAAAGAATTCTCAAAATCCAATAGTAGAAAAACAAATAATCCAATTACAAAAAAGGCAAAAGATATGAACACATATATTTCAGCAAACAAGAGTTACATATGACAAAAAAAAAAGCACATGAAAATTGTTCACCATTAGGTAAATGCAAATTAAAAGCACATTATCACTGGATAACCCTGGCCAAAATAGACACA